TTAGTTAAATAGTTACTCTTGAGTATTTAGAACATAGAACAGTACAGCACAGTACAGGCCCTTTGGCCCACGATGTTGTGCCAAACTTTTACCCTAATCCTAAGGTGTATCTAACCTCCACCCCTACCTTTATACTACCATCCATATGCCTATCTAATAGCCGCTTAAATGCCCCTAATGAGGCTGACTCCACTACCCTCTCCGGCAATGCACGCTCCGACCACTCTGAGTAAAGAACCTACCTCTGACGTCTCCCCTATATCTACCTCCACTCACTTTAAAACTATGCCCCCTCGTAATAGCTACTTCCACCCTAGGAAAAAGTCTCTGGCTGTCTAATCTATCTATACCTCTGATCATTTTGTACACCTCTGTTTATTGGTCTAACTTATCCTGAGCAACTAACTAAATTGTATCGGAATCTTCCTGATTCTTTGATTTTAAATTCATAGATTTAAATACTCACACAGTGCAGGAAAGGTCTTTGAGTCTGCACTGACATAATTACCACCAAAAGTGTGCTAATCCCAATTTCCTGCACTTGTCCAACATCCTTGAATGTTATGACGTTTAAGGGACTCATCCAAATATCATTTAAAGGTTGCAAGGGTTCCAGCCTCCACTGCCTTCCCAGGCTTTCCAGATTCCCACCACCAGTGAGTGAATTTTTTTTCTCAAATCCCCTCTGAATCTCCTGCCTCCTACTCTAAAATTGTGCCCTCTTGTGATTGACCCTTCAACCAAGGGGAACAGCTGCTCTCTATGCACCTGTCCATAGCCCTCATAATCTTAAACAGTTCAATCATCTTTCCCCCTCAGACTTCTCTGCTCTAAGGAAAGCAATCCAAGCCTGTCTAGTCTCTCCTTTTATAGATCAAATTCTCCATCCCAGGCAACTTTCTGTACCCATCTAGTGCTATAAAATCCTTCCTGTAATGAGGTGACCAGGACTGCACACAGTACTCCAACTGGGGCCTGACCGACAATCTGTACAACTCCAACATTACCTCCTTGCTCTACTCTTATACTTTCTGACACAGCAACTGAAAGCAAGTGTCCCAAATGCCTTCTTAATTATCCTTTTCATATGCTTTGCCGACTTCGGGTATCTGTGATTAATTATCCCAAAATCCCTCTGTTCCTCTAAGCTACCCAATGTCCTGCCATTCATTAAACACTTCCTCATCTTGTTTCTTCTTCCAAAGTGCATCACCTTGCACTTAGCAGAGTTAAATACCATCTGCCACCTGTCTGCCCATCTGACCTTCTGTATCTTCCTTTTTTATTCATTCACGGGATGAGGACATCGCTTTTAGGCAGTATTTATTGCATATCCCAGTTGCCCAGAGGGCAGTTGAGAGTCAGCTACATTGCTGTGGGTCTGGAATCACATGCAGGCAGACCAGGTAAGGATGGCAGTTTCCTTCTCTAAAGGACATTAGTGAACTGGCAATTTCTTTGGAGTTTGCCACAATAGAGATTCTGTGGGTCCCCGTATGCAATTCCCACTTATGTTGGAGTAATGGCTGTCCGGCCAGCAGAAAATGCAGATCAAGATTACGAGAAATATTGCAAACAATTTTATCACCAGTTAGTGGCCATATTGTGTAATTACATGATTTACCTAAGGCAGTGTAAATATACAAGTGTTGTACTAAGGGATTTACAGTAGAATATAGAGACGAACTGTGATAACAGGAATTGTCTTCATGCAATTCCTGTTGTGGAAACTTTCAAATTGTACAGTCGTGAGCTGTCAGTTGAACTCAGTCTTGAACTGCGAGGTCAGTGGGGTGGGAGCACGGGGCTATAATTGGACAATTGGTAGATGGATGTAAGCTGGTCATAGTTTTTTTTATATTAGTGTCATGCAGATCCTGTGTGTAGACTTAATTGTTAAACTGCAAATGCAACATTATCATGTACCTCTATAAAGATGGGATTAAAATTTGCAATGACTTCATTCCTTTGCACAATCGCAAGATATCCTGTAGTGCTTTACAGCCAATTAGGTACTTCTGAAGTGTTGTCACTTTAGAATTTTCGGCAACAGTTAATATGAGAGATTTGCACTAGTTGTTTTCATTCTAAATACAAATGAGAGTGAATAATGGTGAAAATAATAGAAGTACACAGAGGATTTCTAATATATTAAAAGTTTTAGTGAATTTTCATGTCATAGAATCCCTACAATGCGAAAGCAGGCCATTCGGCCCATCCAGTCCACACCAACCGTTCAAAGAGCATCCCACCCAAACCCCACCTATCTCTGGAACTCTGCATTTGCCATGATAAACTCACCTAGCCTGCATATCCCTCAACATTATGGACAATTTAGCATGGCCAATCCACCTAACTAGCACATCTTTGGAATGTGTGAGGAAACCGGAGCAAATGGAGGAAACTGTCTGTGTCTGTGTGATGTGCAAACTCCAGACAGTCACCTGAGGCTGGAATTGAACCTGGGTCCCTGGTGCTGTGGGGCAGCAGTGCTCACCCACTGAGTACCATGCCACCTGATGTGGTATTGTATATATTAAGTCACTTTCACTTTTTCTTAATCTGTCTGTTAGTGAAGCATTCATTCATCTGTTCTTTTCTCCTATGTTCAAAGCTCTCTAAAACTTCCCTCCTTTTCTATTTTTCAAGTTTGTTTTTAGGTGGAAGGTTAAATGGGGCACTGTGATTCTATTTCAACCATTTCTTTCTCAGCATCCAGTATCCTATTATCTTCCCATCTTACCACATTTATTTACTGCCATCACTACTCTTACCTCCTTCTTTTTGAATTGCCAGTTCAACCAGCTTTGGTTTCCTCATCCATTTGAACATAGGAGAAAAGAACAGATGAATGAATGCTTCACTAACAGACAGATTAAAAAAAGAGTGAAAGTGACTTAATATATACAATACCACATCAGGTGGCACGGTACTCAGTGGGTGAGCACTGCTGCCCCACAGCACCAGGGACCCAGGTTCAATTCCAGCCTCAGGTGACTGTCTGGAGTTTGCACATTCACACAGACACAGTTTCCTCCACTTGCTCCGGTTTCCTCACACATTCCAAAGATGTGCTAGTTAGGTGGATTGGCCATGCTAAATTGTCCATAATGTTGAGGGATATGCAGGCTAGGTGAGTTTACCATGGCAAATGCAGAGTTCCAGAGATAGGGTGAGGTTTGGGTGGGATGCTCTTTGAAGGGTTGGTGTGGACTGGATGGGCCGAATGGCCTGCTTTCGCATTGTAGGGATTCTATGACATGAAAATTCACTAACTTTTAATATATTAGAAATCCTGTGTGTACTTCTATTATTTTCACCATTATTCACACTCATTTGTATTTAGAATGAAAACACCCTGAATTAAGAGCAGGAGTAAGCCATTCAGTTCTTCAGGCCTGCTCAGACATTGTGAGGTGATGGATGATCTGATTTACTCCGCACTCCCATTCACCCCTAATAATCTTTCATCTGCCCCAACTTTGCTTATCAAAAATCTATCTGTCTTAAAAATATTCAAGGACATGACTAACATCACCTTTTGAGAAAGAGTTCCAAAATTTGCAACCCTCATTAGAAAACATTTTTTTTTCTATCATGTCTTAAATGTTATTTTTAAAATGGCCTCTAGTTCTAGATTCTCCCACAGAGAAAGTATCCTTTCTACGTGCAAAAGGAGTGTTAGGAGCTGAGGGATGACCTTAAGGAAGTTTATAAAATCATGAGGGGCAGGGATAGGGTGAACAGTCAAGACCTTTTCCCCAGGGTAGGGAGTCCAAAATCAGAAGATATAGGTTTAAGGTGAAAGGAGAAAGATTTAAAAGGGACCTGAGGTGCAATGTTTTCACGCAGAGGTTGGTGCATGGATGTAATGAGCTGGGAGAGAAGGTGGTGGAGGTCATTATAATTACAACATTTCAAAGGCATCTGAATGGGTATTTGAGTAGGGAGGGTCTAGAAGTATATGGGCCTAATGCTAGCAAATGGGACTAGATTAATCTGGAATATTTGTTTCCATATCAAGACCCCTCAGGATCAAGTCACCTCTTCTAAACACCAGCACATGCAAGCCTAGCCTTTCCTCATAAGACATATACCCATCCCAGGTATTAGTCTAATAAACCTTCTTTTGACTGCTTCAGACATATTTGCATCTATACTCCCCCGTAGGCAATTGGAGACCAGAGCAACACCATGGGACACAGTTAGTGGCCCATGATACTCTGCCCAGGAATTGGCATAAAGACCCTCATCTAGTTCCTTCAGAGATGGAAAAAATAAACTTTTAAAACATTCAAATTGAAAAGACTTTGTGACCATACCTCTGCCCTTTTCCATTTCACTGGGATTAGTTAGCATAAATTAATACCTTTTAAATATCAATTGGTTGAATATTAGCTTGACAAAATCTCTAGCTTTCTGATATCAGTGTCTTCTGCTTTCTCTGATGTGCAGAATTGGTTTTCATATTTTACTCATACACGCATTGTTTATGGTACTCAATGGGCACTTCAGTTAAGTTTTTGAAATTTGCTTTTCAATTTTTCTACAATTTGTTTGAAAAATTGATTACAAATTTCAAGAAGCTAAAACATTTTCCAACATTGCTAGACAGGTGCATCCTGTCAAGTTTTATACATTGCGTATGATCAGCCTGTACAACGCAATTCAACTTCCAGCTGGGTGAAAATGTAGGAGAAATTTGTTCACGGAGTACTACATTGAGTTTGCCAATTCCTGGAGCACAGTATTGTGGGCCACAAACTGTGCATCCCATGATGCTGCTTGGTCCCAGGAAATTGGTGTAGTCTGTAATGCCACGAGTAAGCATCACGAAGCACGTGAGTTTCTTCCCCATAATGTCCAAACTTAAAGTTTTGTGAGAAGTTAACCAGTTTCAAATAAAAACTTTTAAGAAGGCATTAAAAGACACAGAAGACAATTCAACGGATACATTTTAATCACAAATTATGTCATTAAAAATATATAGTTTGTATAATTGTTACTTTGGACATAGATATTTCTGCTACTGAGGGGAAAAAAGGTGGATCAAAAATATTCATGGCAAATGTTTAAAAACATTGAGAAGAGCCTGTGGGAAAGGTTACCCACTGACTAGATGATGCAGTTACAAGGTGATTAGTTTACACAGGTAATTTCCAGTACAAAAGTGGTATTGGGAATTTATAATGAAAATGTGTGACAGCAGGAAGCAAGGTTTTGTAGACCAGAAGATCAACTTAAGATTTTTATTAAGATACAGAATAGTAATTTTTGTCATTCTTTATTATCTGCATGTATCTCACTAAAAGTCTTTTTCTTTACCTCATACCAATCGTCATACAATGAAAATATCTTCACTTAGCTACTGTACATCTTATAGATCAATTTAGCAATGGATCACTAGCTGTCTGGGGTTGAGGATCTCTCATTAAATAATACAAACACATTGGATTCAAACTTGGAAAACAACACTCCAAACAAAACTGCATTGCAATTATTTAAATTTATTCCCTTACAAAGTAGCATTTGATATCAAAACAAGAAAGCGCAGAATGGCAAAAGAGGACTGCACATCTGAAGCTTTGTAGATAAATCACAATATATAGCTTAATTTTCTTCTCCTCCTAATTCTTCCTCTTCGGCCTCCTCTCCAGATGTGGCATCCTGGTATTGCTGGTACTCAGAAACCAGGTCATTCATGTTACTCTCAGCCTCAGTGAACTCAGTCTCTTCCATGCCCTCACCAGTGTACCAATGCAAGAAGGCTTTCCGCCGGAACATGGCAGTAAACTGCTCAGAGATGCGTTTGAACAGCTCCTGGATCGCTGTTGTATTGCCAATAAAGGTGGCAGACATCTTGAGGCCTCGAGGTGGGATATCACAAACAGCTGTCTTAACATTATTGGGAATCCATTCAACAAAATACGTGCTGTTTTTGTTCTGGACATTCAACATTTGTTCATCCACCTCTTTCATGGACATGCGGCCTCGGAAAACAGCAGCAACGGTCAGGTAGCGGCCATGCCGAGGGTCACAGGCAGCCATCATGTTCTTGGCATCAAACATCTGTTGGGTAAGCTCAGGTACTGTGAGGGCACGGTACTGCTGGCTGCCACGGCTGGTCAGAGGAGTAAACCCTGGCACAAAAAAGTGCAGACGGGGGAAGGGGACCATGTTCACTGCTAGTTTACGCAGGTCAGCATTGAGCTGACCGGGGAAACGTAGACAGGTTGTTACACCACTCATGGTAGCTGACACAAGGTGGTTCAGGTCACCATAAGTAGGAGTCGTGAGTTTGAGGGTTCGGAAACAAATGTCATACAGAGCCTCATTATCAATACAATAAGTCTCATCAGTGTTCTCCACAAGCTGATGGACAGACAGGGTGGCATTATAAGGTTCTACTACTGTGTCTGACACTTTTGGTGAAGGCACAATACTAAATGTGTTCATTATTCTGTCAGGGTATTCTTCACGGATCTTGCTGATGAGGAGTGTGCCCATGCCAGCACCAGTACCACCACCCAGTGAGTGGGTAAGTTGAAAGCCCTGGAGACAATCACAACTTTCTGCCTCCTTTCTCACCACGTCCAGGACAGAGTCAACCAGTTCAGCTCCTTCAGTGTAATGTCCTTTGGCCCAGTTGTTGCCAGCACCACTCTGACCTGCAACAAACAAGAACAATTTAAATTCTTAAACTCTTAGGCAATGCATCAATTAGCCAGGATTTTGTTCTTTGGAACAATTATGCAGAGCAACATTACTTATACATTATTTTTAAAGCTTGGCTTTATCTGGATGAACTGCATAAACAGCCAGACTTTTGAATTGCACAAGTGTAGAGGAATAAAGTTCTCAATTATGAGTGGCATTATTGCTACTTTAGCAATGATCTTACACACACGTCACAACAATTAACGATGTGTTTATATACCTGCATTATGTTTCTTTTCTGTGTTTCTCTTTAAAATTGGGATTTCCAAAGGGCAATTCTTGAAGTTATCAGGAGAGTTTCTCCCAACAGAAACTGGACTAAATTCAATTCCAAATCCTAAATGTGAAAAGTCAATATCTAATCTGCTACACAATCCCCCAATCTCCACGACAAATATACAACTACATGAATAATAATAACCAATACCACTTTTGAACTGATTAACTGTGAGAAAACACTAGCAAGATGGAGAAGGTGGGAAATCAGCTGACCAGAGTATATAAGAAGCTGCACAAACGCTGGGTAATCACAACTCAGCAGTGAGATTGGAGTCTCTAGAATAATGGTCATGACTTCATGATTGCTACTGCAGATTTCTCTGTTCCGTACCATACACCCTCTTTGTTCAGTTTGTTTATTCATTCATCAAGTTCTGCTCTGACTTTGCTACTTCTATTTTTTCATCCTGACTGTTTCTTAAAACAAGATAAACATTTACAAGTCCCTGGCACTTGTGCACCATGATGAAATAGAGAATTCTTATCTTTTTGTGGGATGTAGATGTCATAGGCAAGGCCTGTCTTTGCTGCCCGTCCTTAATTGCCCTTGAACCAAGTGACTTGTGAGGAACCTTTTGGATGGAGATGATATTAAGGGCAGATTTCCTTCCTTGAAGGATATTAGTGAACCAGTTGGGTTTTTACACAAACCAATGATAGTCATTATTGCAATGATTACTCAGATGAGTTTTATATTCCACATTTATTAACTGAATTTAAATTCCACCAACTGCCACTGAACCCAAGTACCTGAAACATTAGCTGGGTCCCTGGATTACTAATCTAATGATGTTACCACTGATCTATCAAGTCCTGAATGTAGATGAACAAAGAAAGCATGCAATTAGGAAAAGCCAGAAAGACTGATAATGACATCAAAATAAGAATATAACAAGTCAGCAGCAGGCACCTTAAAATTCTCTTGGGGCAAGCAGGCAGACCAGTGCCAACTAATGGTGTTTCTGGTCAACAGAAGAAGTGGCATTACAACATAAAGCTGTGATCGTTGTTACAGATTCCAGTCTCACTGCTGAGTTGTGATTTCCCAGTGTTTGTATAGTCAGCTGATTTCCCACCTTGTCAATGATCCCGACAATGATTTGTGGCCTCCCAGCTTGATCCCTAGTTCCCTCCCTCTCTCCCTGCTCTCTGTTCCTCAGCTGCAGTCTTGTGTAGGTCTCGGGACACCTGTCAGAAATAAATTAGAAGACATCCTGCAGTTAATGACTCATACTTTTGGGATACCTATCTAGCACCCTTACCCGCACCTGCCCCTCCAAAGGTACCCTCTCCATATTCCCAGGATGGGTCTCACTCTGAGCCAGGCATTTCCCCTGCAGAAGGTAACAGAAAGAACATACTAATGCATTTTACGGTCAGCAATGAAAACACTTCTTATAATAAAATATAAACTTCAATAAAAGTCTGCCCAAAATGAACGAGCCTACAGAACTTTATATGTGGAGGAGAATTCTGTCAGAATACCACATGCAGATTTATTCAAGAAGTGAGAATGGAGGGATTACAGTGATGGAGGTGATGTGGTGCATAATTGGATAACTGATAAGAGGCAGACAGTTCTGGTGAATGGATGTTTCCTCGGAACATTTCTAACCATTGCTTTTTTTTTGTTGAATGAAAATTAATTGGACTCATGTAGGAAATACATCTTTGAAATTTGCAGAGTTCAAGTCCAAATCCGGAAAGATTTCAGCATATAGTCCAGAGTGGACTGACAGTCTACAGCATTGTTGGAAGCATTAGCTTTTAAACAAGATTTTAAGCTAAAGTTTTTTTTGTTTGTCTATTCACTTGGTTCTAAGATTTCCTGGCAAAACTTGAAGAAGTATGATAGAATATTTCCTGCTATTCTGGTTGACATATACCAGTGTTGCTTGAAGGACAACATTTATGAAATGTGGGCATCCTGGCAAAGCCAGCATTTGTGGCCCACCACTCATTGCCCCTGATCTGAGTGGCTTGTGAGGCCATTTAGGAGGGCAGTTAAGAGTCAATCATTTTGATTAATATGTAGGTCGGACTGGGAAAGAATAGCAGATTGCCTTCACTACATGCATTCGTGAACCAGATGGATTTTTACAATAATCATGGTCACCAGTATTGAAACTAGTTTTTAATTACAGATTTATTAATTTATTTTAAATACTGCCATGGTGGGATTTGAACCCATGTCTCTAGAGTGTTAACCTAAGCCTCTGGATTACTTGACCAGTTAATTAACACTGAACTGATGCCCACACTTAGGCTATAATTGGCTGTTGTGTTTATCTGAACAGTAACAATACTTCAAAAGTACTTCAGTGGCTGACAGGCAATTATAAATGCGAGTTCTTGCTTACCTGATAGACTTTACTTACCAAACACAAAGTTATCTGGTCTGAAAATCTGTCCAAACGGACCAGAGCGAACAGAGTCCATAGTACCAGGCTCCAAATCCATGAGCACAGCACGGGGCACATACTTGCCACCTGGATGAAAAGGCTAAATGTAAGTAGCCTGTCAAAACCTAAATCATACCTCATCTCTCAGCACTGCTACATCATTAGTGTTCCATATGTCAATTTCAGCATCATAATTAGTCAGTCTGAGCATCGTACATTAGTTTGAAGTAAGTACAGAGTCAGTTCTGAGCATCCTACAGCATTATCTCAGCGTCATTAGTGTCATAGTTTGAGTGTCGTATCACATAAATTTGAACATTGCTGTATCAAACTACAAATCGTAGTGCCATTCTAAGTGTCATATAGCATCTGTCTGAGCATCAAACAACGCTAATCTGAACATTGTATAGCATCATTCTGAGCATATCATTCATATGAACATATGTTCAGCGATGCTGTACAATCATTAGTTTGAACATGGTGTAGCATCACACTGAGCATTATTAGTGAATAAAGCATTATTCTCAGTGTCATACAGCATCAGGCTGAGCATCATATAGCATTAGTCTGAACATTGTATGATTCTCAGCAATGCTATACAATGTCAGTCTATGCATAATACAGCAAGAATTCGAGCATTGTACAGTGTCAGTCTGAGAATCATATAGCAAAAGCCTGAACAATCAACTTGAGTATCGTATCACATCAATCTGAACACCATACAGTGTCAGTCGAAACATCATACAGCAATTTGAGTATTGCACAGTCTCAGTCTAACGTCATATAGTGGCAAATTGGCAGAAGTCACCATGAAAAACAATTAGTTCCATAGAACGATAACATAATTCAGCATTCAGGTTAAGAGTGATGAATCTGGGTCAGGGATAACCATGTTAAACTTAAATATAGGTAATTTTTAAAAAAAGAAGGGGGTCACGCTTGGCTGAAGTGAATGAGCAAGGAACTTAGCGGACTGCATAGCAAACTAAAGAAGTTAAGGATAGCATCAAATTGGAAAAGAAAACATGCAATGCAGCAAAGATTAGTCAGTAGCAAGCTAGAGGACTGGGACAGTTTTAAAAACCAACAAAAGATGACCAAAAGTAATACAGGGAGAAAATAAACATTCAGGCTAAACTAGCAACAGTATAAAAAAAGACAGTAAGACCTTCCTTTAAGTATAAAAAAGGAAGGGAGAGGCCAAAGTTTACTTAGGCCCTTTAGAGAATGAGACTTGGAAAATAATAATGGGGAACCAGAATATGGCAAAGGAGTTGAATAAATACTTTGCATCAGTCCTCATGATATAGGAGACTAACAGGATTCCAAAATTATTGAATAATTAAGGGGCAAAAGCGAGGAGTAAATAAATACAATAATAATCTAGAGAAAAAGTACTAGGAGAACTAATAGGATTAAAAGCTGATAAGACTGTGACTCTATATAAGCCCTCAGGATGGGTTGCTTCCTCGGATATTAGAAGAAATAGATACAAGATAGTGTGTGCATTGGTTGTAATCTTCTAAACATACATAAATTCTGGAAAAGTGCCAGAGGAATGGAAAACTGCAGATGTTATTCAATAGGCAAGGAACATATTAGAGTCCATTAAGAAGGATGTGATAGCAGAACATTTAGAAATGCATAATATGATGAAGCATAGTCAGCATGGCTTCATGAAGGGAAAAATCACGCCTGACAAAGTTACGAGAATTCTTTTGAGGCGGTAACTAGTGTGACAACATAAACCAGTAGATGTCATATATTTGACTCTCTCTAAGTTACTGTCCATAACACAATTTCATTTTTTAAAAGTCCATGGTGTTGATGGTAATATATTAGCATGGATAGAGAATTGGCTCATAGAAGACAGAGGGTTGAGATAATAAGGGAGGCATTTTCAGAATACAAATCTGCAACCAGTGCCACATGGATCAGTGCTGGGGCCACAATTATTTGCTAATTTAGATGAAGGAAGTGAATGTACCATCACCAAGTTTGTACATGACACACAATAGGTGGGAAGTCAAATGACGAAAATGACGCAAGGAGCCTTCAGAGAGTTATAGACAGTTTAAGTGAGTTGGGAAAACCATGGCAAGTGGGATATAACATGGGAAGACGTGAGGTTATGCACTTTGGCAGGAAGAATAGAGGAGTTGAATATTATTTAAATGGAGGGAGACAGCAGAAGCTATAGCACAGACGCATTTGGAGTCCTTATGCAAAATTACACAAAGCTAATATACAGATTCAGTAGGTAATAAGGAAGGTAAATGTTGGCTTTTATTTCAAAGGAAATGAATGTAAAAATAGGGAAATCTCGCTAAACTGTACAAGGCAAGAGTTAGACCACAGTGAACAGCTTTAGACCCCTGTCTAAGGAAAGATGTACAGGCATTGGAGGCAGTCCAGAGAAGGTTCATGAGACTGATCCTGAGTATGGTGGAATTTTCTTATGAGGAGAGGTTGAGTACTCATCACTTGCATTTATAAGAGTGAGAGGAGACATTATTTGAAAAATACAAGGTTCTTTGAGGGTTTGACAGGCTATATGTGAAGTGGTTGTTTTCACTTGTGGGACTATTGAAAGGACAGATGGATGGGTAGAGGGGGCAGGGTTACCTTGTTAGTAAGAAATGAAATTAAATCAATATCAAAAAGTATATAGAGTTAGAAGGTGTAGAAACTATGCGGGTAGAGTTGAGGAACCACAAAAGAAAAAAGACCCTGATGACCTCCCCTTGACGTAGCTGTGCTGATTCAGCCCTATTTGATGGGCTGAGTCAGCATAGCTTCATCAATGGGAGGTCATGCCTGAGAAATCTGCTGGAATTCTTTGAGGAGGTAATGAGCAAGTGAGACAAAGGAGAGGCAGTAGATGTGATCTATTTAGATTTCCAGAAGGTCTTTGTCAAAATGCTGTGCAGCATGCTGCTAAATAAGAGCCTGCAGTGTTAGGGCCACAGTACTGGCATGGAATGAGGATTGGCCGGTCGGCAGGCAGAAGGCAGAGAGTGGGGACAATAGGTTCATTTTTAATGTGGGAGCCAGTGACTAGTGGAGTTCCACAGGGGTCAGGTTTGGTGCCACATCTATTCATGTTATATATTAATGATCTAGATGAAGGAACTGAGGACATTGTTGCTAAGGTTGCAGATGACACAAAGATAAGTCGAGGGACAGGTAGTGTTGAGGAAGCAGGGAAGCTGCATTGTACTGTATCAGTCAAAGCATCATACAGTGTCAGCATGAGTATCATACAGCATCAAACTGACCATTGTACAGTGGTTAGTCTGCATATCATACACCATTAAAGTAGTGTACTGTCATTCTGAGTATAATAAAGCAGTTAGTCTGAGCCTTGTACAATGTCCGTTTGAGCATTGTACTGTGACAGTCCAAGTACCATACAGCAGTTAGTCTGCATATCAGACACTGTCAATTAGAGCATTGTACTGTGTCAGCCTGAGTATCATATGGCATCAGACTGACCATTGTACAGCATTGTACTGTTCTGAGGAAGAGTCACCAGGCTTCTCCAGCAACTTTGTTTTTCTTCCTGATTTACAGCATCCGCAGTTCTTTCAGTTTTTATATTGTACAGCAGTTGGTCTGCATATCATACAGGATCAATTACAGCATTGTATTGTGTCAGTCAAGTATCATACAGCGGTTAGCCTACATATCACACAGCATCAGTCTAAGCATGATAATAATGTCAGCTTGAGCATCATACAGCATCAGTCTAATTATTGTACGGTGTCAGTCCAAATATCATATAGTGTCAGTTTGGACAGGTGGTGAGATTGGACACAGTGAACATGGGTTGTCTAAATTACTATTTGAAAATCTCTGTGTGGGAGCAGAGCCTGTAATTAATATTATGTGGCCTGAATTGGTTGACTCCTGGGCTGATTGTAAACTGCTGTCACTGAAAATGGCTTTATCTTCTTCTCCATTGACAATAACAACAAGGTGCAAGACACTGCAATTTTAGATTTGCAGGGAATGTAACAGTCCAAATATTCATTAGTCCATGTTTATAGAACCTACATTCTCCCTACATTTTTACCTACTAAAATAGCAAATGATTCCACTAATTATTCAAGTCAATTCAATCAACTTCCTCAAGCATTTACAATACTTCCATTTTAAAGGAGTGCATAATGTTGCACTTTATGGCTTGGAAACCAATCTCAGCATGGTTTCTGAAACACTAGGGTTATTTGTGTTCATGAATAAAAACAGAAGTTCCAAGGAAGGGTCACCAGACCCAAAACGTTAACTCTGATTTATTTTCTTCATAGATACTGCCAGACCTGCTGAGCTTTTCCAGCAACTTCTGTTTTTGTTCCTGATTTACAGCATCCGCAGTTCTTTCGGACTTTATCTGTGTTCATGGCTCCTGATACCTACCTAACATGTCAGGATGTTAGCTTACCTCCAAAAGAAGGAGGCCTATTAGCACACTTGACAACTAATGGAATATCACCAACATGATGAAGACATGCTTGATGTGCGTGGTTCAATCTTGGGACAATGGACAGTGCAGCTGGAAATGGTATTAAGAATGGTGGTCAGAGACTGCATTGTGCACAACTCTGCCATATAGATAAGCAGTGGAGAAGAAGGCTCTAACAGGATCAGCAGGAAAAGCAACCAGAAAAGGATGTGAAAGACACCCCACTGATACCTGGCTAATTGTCTCAGTCTCTCGCAGAAGAACACTGCCTTCCAAACCTGCTTGCTGCATTACAGTTTATATCTTCTCCATCTATACCAAAGTTGATATCAAATGCAAACTATTCTCTGCATGCATCAATTCAAACAGCTCCCATTTATGTCACCAGATAAAAGCTACTTACAAATTTGTACAAGTGTACACAGAAGTTTAGAGCAACCACAATTTTAATTAAAAATCAAATTTTATTTCCCAAAT